TTCACTTGGTCTTGGCATGCAATCCTTTTAATAGACTGCTGAGTTTGGCTTAGTAGTATTTTGTTGAGGGTTTTGCACTGATTATTCATATCCATAAGGGATATTGGTGTGTAGTTTTCTTATATTTTTGTCTGGTTTTGGTATTGGCATAATGCTGGCCACATGAAACAATTAGGAAGTATTCCTTAGTCTTTAATATTTTTTGGAAGAGTTTGAGAAGGATTGCTGTTAAATCTGCTTTAAATGTTTGGTGGAATTCACCAGTGAAGCCATCTTGTCCCGGGATTTTCTTTGTTGGGAGACTTTAGATTACTGATCCAGTCTTCTTAGTAGGTATAGGTCTATTCAGATTTTCTATTTCATCATGATTCAGTTTTTTTTTTTTTTTTTTTTTAGAATTTACACATTTCTTCTAGGTTATCTAATTTGTTGGTATATAAATCTGAATTTTGCAAGTCCAAACTGTATACACACCAGGCAATTGTTTATTTCTTGGCCCTGGTTCTGAAAAAGACCAAGTTTTTTTTTTTTTATATATATATCAGTTGGCCAATTAATTTCTTTCTATTTATAGTAGAGACGGGGTCTCGCTCTTGCTCAGGCTGGTTTTGAACTCCTGACCTTGAGCAATCCGCCCGCCTCGGCCTCCCAAGAGCTAGGATTACAGGCGTGAGCCACAGCGCCCGGCCATGATTCAGTTTTAATCAATGTGTGTTCTAAGAATTTGTCCATTTCGTCTAAGTTATCCAACTTGTTGGCATACAAATGTTCAGACCATTCTTTTTGTTGTTGTTGTTCTTGGAGACAGTCTCACTCTGTCATCCCAGCTAGAGTCATCAGAATAGCTCACTACAACCTTTAACTTCTGGGCTCAAGCAATCCTCCTGTCTCAGCCTCTCGAGGAACTGGGACTACAGGTGCACACCACCATGCCCAGTTAATTTTTCTATTTTTTGTAGAGACAGGGATCTCATTCTTGCTTAGGCTAGTCTCAAACTCCTGACCTCAAGCAATCCTCTGCCCCTGACCTCCCTTGGTGCTAGGATTATAGGTATGAGCCACTGTTCCAGGCCAACATTCTTTTATAATCCATTTTATTTCAGTAAAATTGGTATTAATGCTCCCACTTTCATTTTTAATTTGAGTAATTTGACTCTTCCCTCTTTTATTCCCAGTCAATGTAGCTAAAGGGTTATTAATGTAGTTTAATTTTTCAAAGTACCAGCTTTTGGCTTTGTTGATTTTCTTTATTGTTTTTCTATTGTCTATTTTATTTATCTCCACTCTAATCTTTATTTTTTTTTCTTCTGCTGCCTTTGGGTTAGTTTGCTTCTTTTTCTAGTTCTTTAAGGTGTAAACTTAGGTTATTGGATTTGAGGTTTCCTTTTTTTTAATGTGTACATTACAGCAATAAATTCCCCTTTTCACGCTGCTTTCTCTGCATCCCATAAGTTTTGATGCATGGCATCTTCATCTTCATGCATCTGAAGGGATCTTCTGATAAAGCTCCCTGATCACTTACTCACCCTGTTGAGTCTCCTGATGAGCCTTTCAAAGTGATTCTTCATTTCTAAGATAGAATTTTTGAGTTCTAGAATTTCTTTCAGACTTTTTATTTTAGAATTCTTTTTTTTCGGCTTACATTACTCACCTGTTCTTTTCCCATCAGAGCTTGTAACACATCAATCACAGTTACTTACACTCGCTTTCTGCTCATTTCAACTTGTGTCATGTGTGAGTCTGATTTGGTGATGGCTTTGTCTCTTCAGACTTTGCTTTTTCTTGTCTTTAGCAGGCTTTGTAATTTTTGGTCAAAAGTCAGACACATTGTACGTGTAAAGTCACAGGTGCTGAGGCAACAGGCTTTCCACGGCAGGATTTAGTCATCTGGCTGCTGTAATATTTGCCCTAGCTCTGGGCACCAGACACTTAGAGTCACTCTAATGGGCTTACAGCAAATTAGGTGGTCCCCCCTCTTCTCTTCTCTTCATGGCTCCCCATTATTCTGGTCCTCAGAGAGTCTGTCTGGCAGGTCTTTTGATTGTAATCCACTGCTGTTATTACTCAGCTGTTAGTGTGGGGGGCTGATGCAGGCAGCGGGTCCCATCTCTTCTGATCTCCTCAGTACTTTAGTCCCTGTGCCTCTGGGTGGGGTGAAGCCTTCAGAGCCCAGGCTCCTCCCCACCAGTGTCTCCAGGCTGCTTCCATGAAGCCTTCCTCACTGTGCATTTCCTTTCTTCAGTGAGACAGGAAGGCTGGGGAGAATGGCAGTGGGTGGAGCTGTCCCTTCACCCTGGCAAGGCTTCAGAATAGCCCTGGGGAAGCCCCTCCCCTGTGAGGGAGCCCCATGTTAGGTAGAAGGGTCAAAGGGCCTTCAGCTACCCCCCTTCCTCTGCCAGGGTCAGGGGTTATTTCTCTGATCCTCACCCTCACTCCAGTAAAACATGGAGTGGTTCCTGGGGGCACAGCATCTGACACTGTGGCCCCCTTTAGCGCTCAGCCCCCAGCTTCCTACTCAGCCTGCAACAACCCATCAACTTTTATTTAAATGTTGCTACCAGTTTTTGGCATTGGGAGACACCTGCTTCAGGCCACAGGTTGCTGAATTTCTCTGGATGCATCTGTCTCTCTGAGTTTGGGGAAAGTCGTTTGCCCTGTGAGCTCAGTTCTCAGATGGGTTCAAAAAAGTCATAGATTTTTTGCTTGCCTGCCTTTTTCTTATTGAAGAATGGAAATGGTAGATTCCAAGGTCTTTACATGTAGTAATAACAGCCACCTCTCCCCTCCCGGAGGCAGGTGTGTGCTTCGTCTGTGTGAGTGTGGAGTCCAGGGCACTGTCAGGGCAGTCAGCAGTGGAGGACGGTGGAGGCAGGGGCGCTTTTCATTAAAAAAAATCTTTTTCTTGTTGATTAACTTTCCCATTTACAATTGTGAACAGGACTTTAACAGTGAACGCTTGGGAGAATAAAGGAGGGCACACTGTTTGCCATGGCAAGATGGGAAACCACGTGCACGTCCTGGGGAGGGAGTGTGTGACCAGGCTCCACCCGGGGCAGACTGCTGTGCAGCTGTTCGGAAGGACAGGGTGTGCCGCCCACGGCTGGTGTTGGGCCCGGGAAGACATCCTGGGCAGCGAAAAGGCGTGAAGCTTGTGTGTGTATGTCACGGAAGAGGAAGGGTCTGAGGATGCACACTGGTTGGCAGGGGAGAGGGAAAGGGGCTGTGCACTTGGCACTGTTTGGACTAGGGACAGTAAGTGTTGCTAAGCAACTTGGCTCGTGCCGCGGGTCCCCACAGACCAGACCCAACCAGAGTAGACTCACTTGTGCTAAATGCCACATCCTCAAACTGAAACTGTAAGGAAGCAGGTAGATCCCCATATAGACCAGTTTTTCCTGAGAAAGGAGATTACAGTCTACCTGGCTCATAATAAGGATGTCCCCTCTGCTTCAATCCTCATGAAACAGTCACTGGGGTGACCTGATGGGAACTGATCAGCGTTTTCCTGTTACTCTGTTTCACCCTACGAAGCCCACTGTCCTGCCATCGTCCAGTGGGGCCCTCGTTCTATTTTGTACTACAGAGGCTGCTTCATTCATGAATTGCAAATAAAAGCCAATCAGATCTATAATGAAATTTGTTCCAATTTTGTCCTTTGACAATGTGAATGAATTTTGTATTAATAACAACAGAAGGCTAAGGGAGGAAGGACGGAATACTCAATTTCCACTGTTTTCCCTCCTGTGTCTTTTGAGTTTTGTATCTCATGTATTTATTCTTATTCCAGGAAATAAAATAAAATAATAAAATAGGAAACCAGGAAAGACATGAAGCTACACTGATATAGTCTGCAGGCTCCCCCCAGCCTGTGCTGGGCTTCACCCCTTCTCCTTCTCAGCTCCTCTCCCCTCCCCATGCTCCGGCTGTGCCCAGAGCCCGCAGCTTCCCTGCACAAGGGGAAGGCTGAAAGGCGTAGGGCACAGCCGGCAGTGGTTGTGCCCCTCTGGCCCCTGCTTGGAGCTGGGGACAGACGGGCATACTTCTCAGGTTTCATTTCCTGTGGGAAAACCTGCTGTCATCTCTCTAGCCACGTGTGAACAAGAGGGTTGGAAATGACCAGAGTTCTGAAAGTGCCCAACCAGCCTCTTCCCCTCCCAGCACTGGGCCAGGCACTTGTCCCAGGCGCTGGCCCTGAAGTCCCCTCTTTCCCCTCCATGGGTCACCCTGGGGCCTGCGGTGCCCAGCAAGGCTGGCAGTGCCTGGGCCTCTCCTGTCAGGGAGGGCACCCTGAGGATGTGGTGCGATAGCAAGGTCACCCCTGCGGGGGTCACGTAGCCCTCCTCCATTACCCCAGCAGGGCACCCAGCAGGCCGTTCCTGGTACCCCCACCCACATGGTGGAAGGTGGGTGCTGGGGCTAACGTGCTCCCAGTGGATAGCAGGCAGCCAGTGGGTCCTCCCAGGAGGCACAGCCCTGTTTCCCTGTGCCTGCTGCCGGGTCACTGTAGACCATGCCTGGACATGGCGCCTGGCTCCTGGGCACCCTGTTTCCCCCACTCCTGATGGTGCAGGGACCACCTTGGCTCCTGCCTTCTGCAGCTCTCTCAGCCTGGCCAGGCTCTCCATCAGCACAAGTCAGTGAGTCACAACAAGGTACAATGAGGGAATGTCCATTCTCTGCCAGGGAAGGCATCTGGCCCTCAAGCCAGGGTCATTTGCACACCTTGACTCTGTTTCTCTCCAAACATGAAGCTCATGTTCAACAGGGAATCAGAATCCATGCACAGCCTTTTGACACTTCATTCTTTTCAACGAGAATTTACTGAGCATCTGCTCCATCAGGTGTAGGACAAAGCCCCTGGGCTGAGGCTGAGTCAGGGCAGCCTCCCCTCTGGGCTCTCAGTCTGCTAACATGGAGCACATGGCTGGCACCTGAAGGTGCTCAGATATCCAGGACCTGGAAGGAGGAGGTGAGGGCTCTGAGCAGGGCACTCACTGCACGAGCTCAGCAATAAGTCCTGGAATGTGCTGAGGAGCCTTTGGAGCCAGGAGTGGGCTCTAAACCAGGCACCCCACACACTAGCTGTGCATGCATGTCTGTGGGCACATCACACCAGCGCTCTTTGCCTCAGTTTCCAGGTCTGAACAGTGAGGCTAACACCTACAGTGAGGGTGATGCTGGGATCAGGTGAGCTGACCCAGGTGGAAGGAGGGGTCAGATATGGCTTCACAGGTCTGGGTGCGTCCCTCAGGAGCCTTGTGCACCTGTTTGAACTTACAACATGTAGCCTGCATCCTGTGCAGAGCAGGCCTCAGTGAACAAGGGCCATAGGAGCATTTTCTAGCCTGAAGCCAAGTGTCAGGCAATCAGGAGAGGCCCTGAGCTGGCATCTCCTTGTCAGACTGCAGCCCTCACATCTGCAAGTCCTGTGCTGCCTTCTTCCCACGTTACAGTAGGCACCTCCCCCATTCTCCTCCCTGGCGGAAGCTCTGTGTGAGATGAGACTTCCTCAAAGTTTGCCCATGACCTGATCCAACCTTTTCCTATGCTTGCTTTTCCTCTGGAAACCCCATTTCATAGCTGCCTGTCATGTCCCTCTTGGCGTCTCACTGCAGCGTGCTGGCCGAGGTAGAGTCTAATCCATCTGCCTCTGCACCTGCTGGCCAGACCCTGGGCCAGGACAGATGCAGCACCCTTCTCCCTCAGGCTCCAAATGTCTGGGTGCTGCATATGTGCTGTGGTTTTCAGGGGGCAGGGAAACAAGCCCCATTCAAAGGGGAGTTGTCCTGAAGGAAGGAGGAGGAGGCTGACAATGCAGAGGGCGGGAGTCAAAGGCCTTTGCCACTCACAGGTGGAACAACAGATTGAGAAGAATCAACTGCCTTCTTGCCAAAGAGCATTTTTACCATCCACAGCTTCAGTTACAGGGTGCAAGCAGAAGGAAATCACTGTTTGTCTGGGATGGTTGTGACAGAGAATCCATCAGCACCCATCAGCAGGGTGGGCAGGTCTGGCCAGCCCTGGCAGGGTGGTGCAGCCACGCATGGCAGGGGCAGGCTCAAGCCTCCTGCCAAGGTAGGGCTGGTCCTGCTTCGGATACCCGAGGAGAAGCCCTCCAGGCCCCAGCATGTGTGGCCACCTGTCCTGGGGCTGGTGGGTCCTCCCTAGCTTACCCTCCATCTGCCCCCCCACCTGAGCCTCAGACCCCACAATCACGCGGGTTTGGATCATAATCCTGAAAAGCACAATTCCAAATGCTGTAATCCCCAATGTTGAAATCTCGAAAGATCAAATACCTGACATCTAAAATCCTGAAAATCACAATCACAGGATAGTTGCATCATGTTAGGCAGAATTACTACATTGTTATTGTCTTTATTTGGAATTACGTATGGTTCAAGGAGATGCCTACGGGTGCCACATAGACAAGGGGTGGATTTGTGGACTTAGTTTTTGGCATTGGCTTGACTGGATTAAGGACCACCTAGAAACCTGGCAAGGTGTTATTTTGGGTGTATTTGTGGGGGTGTTTCTAGAGTCTGAGTGACTAGGTGGGAGGATCTGCCCCCAACATTGGTGGATGCCATCTGACCGGCCAGGGCCCAGAGAGAACAAAGACAGAAGGCCAGTTGGTCTTTCTCTGAGAGCTGGAACAGGGTTTTCTTTGCTACTTTGGACATCAGAACTCCAGGTTCAATGGCCTTTGGACTCCAGGACTTACACCAGTGGCCTGGATGCTTTTAGCCTCAGCTATGCTACTGACATCAGGTATGAACTGGAGGTATAAACTGTGTAGAGGCTTTTAGAGAGCTCTGATTTGTATAAAAGTGCATTATCACAGCTTCAATTTTGGATGTGAGCATTGTGCACGTATGTAAAAACACTAAAACATCCTGAATAAATGAAGAGATGTCCTTTTTGCACATCTGCATTTGTGAAATATAAAATTTCCTGAGATCTTAGCTCTTTGGGTGATCGCATGTGTGGTGATGACTCACTATGGTTTTTGATCGATTTCATAAAAAAAGACTTCTGTTGTCCATCGCAATATAATGGTATTTATACAGTTACCAACCAAAGTGATGTGTGTTTCTATATTTCCATTTCTGACCTATTGCTTTAGGAATACAGTTTAGACAAACTCGGAACTGCTAAACATGTGTGGCTGACATTAGTATGCCTGAGTGTTTATGCTGGCAAAATATGCATGTCATTATTGGACATTTGATTGTGTAAAGTGGCCTATGAGTGTCCTGTTGTGTATTATGTTCCTCAATTAAATCCCCCTTTTAAAAAGCGACTTAATATCTTTAAAAGAATTTATTTTTTTCCCCCCAGAATTATATTTCTGGCATTTTTATCTTCCAGGATTGTGATTTGGGGATTTTAGACTTTAGGGATTTTGACTTTTCAGGAATTCAACATTAGGGATTATGGTGTTCAGGATTGTGTCTTTGTGGATCGTGATCGGATCCCTCCTCACATATGCCATGAATACGTACTGGCTCCCCACTTCCTTCTCCTCCCCCTGCCCGGGCACCCTTTCCTCCCCATCAGTGTGAAGTCTGAGCTTGACATCCTCTCTTGAACATGCTGTTTGAGGAGCAGCAAGAAGTTCACAGCTTCAAATTGTCCTTGGTCTTGAGCTGCCTGCCCTGGTGGGTTCAGGCAAGATGTCCCCACATGAAAACACCCACCCCCGATTGCCTATGTCCTGCCACCCTGCCCCCAACACAGTCCTCATGTCAGGGACAAAAGATGGCTTCTGGTGAGTGCCAGCCTGTCCTACAGGTGGGGTTTGGCCACAGCCAGGCTTGAGGTCCCCCACTTCTGGCTAGCCATAGAGGAGGCCTTCTTGGGTCAGGAGGCTGCAGCGGCATTCAGGGGCACTTGCCGAGGGCCCCCTCTCCTGCTGGCTGTCCAAAGTGAGGCCCAGGGTTTCTGGGTGGTGGCATTGAGGGCTGCACCAGGCAGCAGGAGCCAAGGGGGCCTCAGAGTCCAGCAGACTGCCATGTGCTACCTGTTCCACAGTCCCCATGCTGAGCTGTGGGGACTGGCCCTCCATGGAGGCACCGGCCTGGACACTTAGCCCAGCAGGCTCCACCCTGAGCCTACTCAGGTCTGAGATGTGGTCTCGACACCTCTGGTCCTGTGCACTGGCCAGAGAGGGCAGGTCACAGGTGGTGGCCACTCTGGGGAAGCTGCTGGGCTGTGTCTGCAGCAGAATGTCAAAGCCGTTGGCCTGGGGCTGCCCGAAGAACCCACTGCCTGTGTCCTGCCCTAGACGCTGTCCAGGTGAGGGCTGGCCATCCTGATGTATCTGCAGGGCTGCCACATGGGCCACACAGCCTGTCAGTATGGGCTCTGTGTCCCGAGTACTTCCCCTGTGACCTGGTCTCCAGGGGTCTTGGAAACACCCCAGGTCCCCAGGTGGCCTGGTCTCCTTCTGGGAGCTGGGCCAGGCAGAGGGGTTTGGGAGCTTGTTTTTACTGGAAGTGTCTGCTGTCACAGCAGCTGCAGACAGCACAGAGGAGAACAAGCTTTCAAGGTGGCCTTGTGTCCCTTTCTCCAGAGAGGGGTGCCTGGACAGAGAGCTGGGCCCCTGCACGGTGCCCACTGGGACCTTACTCTCTCTGGCAAGCAGGCGTTTGGCGCCTGAGTGCTCCCACAGCTCCTGCCTGCCGGTTGCTGAGCACACCGTGGGCCCCCCTGCGTCTGAGGCCTGGGGTCCCCTGCACTCCAGCTTTTCTGCCTGTGCCCTGGGGGCCCTCTGGGGGCCAGGTGGGGCTGTGGGCTCCTCGGGTGCAGGTGGGGCTCGGGGTGCAGGGCCTCGGCGGAGCCAGCTGACAATGCCCATGGTGATGGCCAGCTCAGTGTCGCAGAGCTTCAGCAGGCACTCCTTGCCCTTCCAGGAGCTCTGCAGGAAGCCCTGGCTGAGCAGGTCGGGCCCTGGTGCTGGGGCCAGGTTCTCCTCGGCCCCCACGTGGAAGCTGCACATAGACAGCGGTGTCCCCAAGGCTGGGCCGGACAGACTCTCAGACACACACAGGTCGTCATCCAGGCTTGGGCCAACAGGGCCCTCCCTGGGGTCGTGGAAGAGCTCATAGAGGGCGTCCCCACTGTAGCTGTCCCGTGGGAAGGGGGCTGCGGGTGTGCCTGGGCTCGTGGCCTCCTTCCTGTCCTCCTCGAGGCCTGGCGAGAAGGAGTCATAGTAGCCCTCGTCGCTCGTGGACACAGATTCCGGCTGCTCACTCTTGGGGGTACCTGCGTCAACAGAGCTAGCTTTGGAGCCACTCTGGGGATCCCTGCAGGGGCACAAGGGCAGCTGAGCCAGCCCAGCCACATCCAGCCTGGGTTGGTCTGTGTCTGTGCCCTGGGGGGCTGCAAGCCACGGGCCCAGCAGGGCGCGCTGCTGTCGCCTCACTGAGCGATTCACACTGTTCCAGAACTGGGTGAAGTCTGCCACCTCGCTCTGGGCAGGTGAGGCCAGCTGCTCCACGCTGCCTTGTAAGGGGCCTCTGGGGACCTTGCTCTCCAGGTCCTGGGTAGCCCCAGCTGGGCTTCCCAGGCCTTCCTTCAGCTCCAGGGATGGCACTGAGCTCTCGTCGGCAAAGATCTCCCCGCAGCCCGTGAGCGAGTCGAAGCTTTGCAGTGAGGCCACGTCCTCACACAGGGCCCTGCAGAGGTCGAAGGACGAATCAGTCAAGAGCTCACTGTCTGACAGGTCCTGACACAGGCTGTCCGGCCCTGGCGCCTCACCCAGGGGGAGGAAGGCTTTGCCTCGCTGCCCTCCTGCATCCGATGGGCCCCCAGGGGAGAGCAAGCTCTTCCCCTTGGCTTCCAGTGAGGCCAAGTTCTCAGACTTGTTTCTGCGAATGTGGAAGAGGTTCCGGAAGCACTTCTTAGGCCTCTTCAGGGAAATTCTCTTTCTTGGGATGCTCTTGGCCACTGCCGGCACGAAGGGCATCTGGGGCACAAAGTGACGGTAGTCAATCATGCGCTGGCTGCCTGAGGGTCCTGGGAAACTAGCACTGCCTACCAGCTGCCTGGTGGTGGCAGCTGTCCTGCCAGCCCCTGGCACACTGTCGTGAGTCTTGCTTTTTCGTATCAGCTTAGAGGTGGCCTCACAGGGGGCTGCCGGACTTCCCTTGGGGTCTGGCTGTGCACCCTGTTTGGGGGGGCCTGCATCCTCCCTGGTGGGGGCAGTGGCGGCTGGGTCTGTGGGTTTCTCATGGGAAATCTGCAGGCTGGATTTGATGAAGGTCTTTCCTCTCTTGAGTTCCATGCTGTCAGCACCCCAGCTGCTGTGGAGGAAAGCAGGAAGCACTTAGTATTCAAGACTGGAGGCCCATGGGCTCTTGGCTGCAGGGCCTGTGTCCCAGGGAGCCCCCTTGGAGGCAAGGGAGAGGGAGATAGGAACAGCCCCGCCACACTGACGGCTTCAACCTGTATAGACAACATGCCTACAGGTACACAGTAGGCACAAAATGAGAGCTGCCTGCTGAATGCTGCACCCATGAGCTCTTGACTCACCCTCTCAGCTCATCTGACCAACCCAGACTCCCATTTCCAGGCCTGGGCTAATAGCAGCAGCAACTCAGTGCACCCTCACCACACCAGCATGAGGGAGGCATCACGGCCCTGCCGAGTGGGTGGAGCAGAGGATCTCGTTAGAGAAGGTACCTCTGCCATCTGGTCAGAGACAGCTGAATGGGACACCCAGACCCACCTGCCGCCCATTGCAAACTCCAGGACTGTGCACCTGCTGGGGAGGCAAGACACAGAAGAGCACCTCACAGAGCATGAACGGAGAGGAGAGAGAGCATCATGGTGGGGGGTGCGCATGGAGTGGACGCAGGGGCAGCAGACGTCATCTTTTGTGCACACAGCACTGACAGATATCGACACCTGCAGTGCCTTCCAGAGAAGGGTTCTGGTGCTCGCTCTGAGTTCAATGGGAAAGGGTGCAGGGGTAAGCCCTGGCGGGAGTGGGCAGCGTCAGGAGTGCCTACCCCTGACCATCCTGGCACAGCTGGGCATCAGGCCTCACCCTGATCAGTGGGGAGCTGCACCACCTTCTGCAAGGGTGGCAGCAGGGCTTTAGTGAAGCTCTAGGACAGAGAATGGGGAGGGAGTCTTGCAGAGAGGACTCCAGCAAGAGTCTGGAGTGAGAGGCATTCCTGACGGCCAAGACAGGGACAGAGGCAGGCGGAGGCTACAAGGCATCCTGTCTGGGTTTCCAAGGGAAGGAATGCCAGGATTCCGCAAAGGCAGGAAGACAGAGAAGAGCTCAGGGAGTTCTAGACACCAAGACCTGGATTCATGCCAAGAGAGGGACAGTGAGGGTGGGAAGGGAGGAGGGTAGGAGCTGAGCGAGGTGTGGAAAGGGGAGCAGGTCTAGTTGTAAACATGCTACCCCTAAGGTAAGTTTGGAGACCCCCCATACCACAGCAAGAGAGGGCAGATGTGAGAACCTTCCCTGAGTTCTCTCCCATGTCATGGCCCTGGGCTCAGGCCCGAAACACCCCCACCTGCCAATGCCCCTTCCTTGGCAGGCAGCTCTCTGCCAGGCTGGCCTCTGCCTCTCCATAAGGGCTGCTCCGGAGGCCCCACTCTCTCTCCCCATCTCGGCCAGTGAGGGCTTCAGCAGGTGTCACTGGGGCCTCCAGCTGGTTCCTTTCAGACCTGACCCCAAGAAAGGCTCACAGCTACCTGCACACGACTACACGCCCAGCTGGCAGTCAGTGCCAGAGTCCCTGAAATGTTTCTACATGGGGACAACCCAGTGGGCACATTGAAGTGAAGAGGATGAGAAGGGCTGGAGACACTGGCATTGCAGGGACTCCTGGGGGCTGATGGGGCAGGCTGACCAGTCTCCACCTGCTCCTGCCCATGGGCAGCACTTCCTCCCCTCAGAGGGGCACCTCGAACTTTTGGCTGGAGGATGAGAGGACAAGTGCTGTGCCAGGGAGAGCTGCAGAGCCTAGACTGGGTTCTGGATGCAGCTCAGCCTTTGGTCACGTACCCTGAATGGAGGGACAGCAGCTTGAGCAGCCATACTGGCTTTTCTGCCTCCTGCCAGATGGTGTGTGCCCAAGCCTTTCCATCTCACACCTGCAGACTCCCTTTCCACTCCACACACTCCTCTGCAGCTCCGCTGGGCTTAGCTGCACACAGCATAGTGCTTACCATCCGGGCTATAGCGCAGGTGACCCTGACTTGAGTCTTGGCTACACCTGCCTTACCAGGCAGGAAGCGTGGCTGACAACCTGATGAGTTATAGCTCCCAATCTACAAAGAATACATTCAGATCCAGGAACGTCATGGGCTGGCCCAGACCACAGAGGTGGTAAGTGGCAGAACTGGGATTTGAACCCAGGCTGTCTGAATCCAAACCTGTCAGTCTATGGACCATCAGGTCAGAATCTCTTTTGAGAGAAATCTAAAAATAGAATAATGAATGTCTTTATGTGAGAAATTTTGGAAAGCACAATGAAAGTGAAGATTAAAAGTAACCAGGGTAGCTCACACATATCAGAAAAAATTATAATTGAAGGTTAATAAAATTTCTATGGCAGGAAATTTGGAGATACTTATTATGAGATCTCTATTTCACTTATCCTTTTCTATGTTTTGGAAAAATCTTTTGAATACCATTCTCTTGGAAATAACTTCAACTAGGCACAGCAAAGATTATTTCACTGTGTGCAGAAGTCTGCAACTGCAAGATCTAAAATGGTTTGTTTGATATATGTCTCTATGAATACAACTACCAGTTTCTCAGTTCTTAGAACAATCAACTGATTTAAAATCACAAACAGCTGGAAATTTCATTCCACTCTGAACTTGAAAAATGATCCTTTAAAATAGCTGTCATTGCTTTAGATGGCTGCACTCAGTGTCACTAATATTGCCAACTCTACTTCCCGAGTTTATTTAGCACTTTGCACACAGATAGAACAATGAGCAGGAGAATACATAATGATGAACCAGAGAATTGTCAATACTAGAGCAATCACATGAAAGCTAGTCTGTGTTCAGTCCAGTCAGTTTCCACGTTAAAATATTGTATCTGAATCTGTCTCTTTGGAAAGCCATGCCCTGTGTGTGGCATGAGTGGCAACTCCCTGAGTGGCTGGAGGGCTCACTGCCTGGCTGGAGGCAGGATGAGCAGTTACCTCCTGTGACAGTTCTCAGGGGCAGAGTGGGATTTATGTGGACAGCCAGATGCTGACACTGTCATTGCCTGGGGGTAGAGGCCAAATGCGACCAGGTTCTCAGTTACAAAAACGCACACTCTGCTTTGTAACCCTGTGGCTAGAGATCCCAAGCCCTGGAAGGAAATGTGACAGGTCCTCCCCCACCATGTGGCACATCCCTCCCCTAAGGAGGGAGCAGACGTGTCCCTCTCCCTCCTGGCACCTTCTCATCTGCAGTGCTCGGTGGCCACCCACCCATTGTTCACACGGTGCTTGGTCTTGCTCCCCAAAGAGCCTGAAAATTCTTTAAGGTCCAGGACTCCAGCTGCAGTAAATTGTGAGATATTACCTATTTAAATGAAGACCTTTATGAGTCTGAGACATCTTAGCCATACATTGACATCCAAGTTTCCTAAATAAGATGCTGAGTCTGAGATTTTTAATTCTACCAACACAGTTTACGTGCACTATGTTCTAAGACAGGTTTCAGTGACACCAAGGCCCTGGGCTGAGTCTCTCATCTCTAATATGAACTTGAAAATTCCATGGAAACAGGGACTATACAGTGCATTTATTTTAATCATCCTATTTCAGGGATGTGAGATATAACCCAAAATCTAAAAGACAGCAGAAAACAGTCAGGCAAAAGATGTGGAATGCATATTCCAGGCAGAGGGCACACCCTGAGAAAAGGCCCCAGCAGCCAGTGAAAGAGAATTTTTTTCCAGATCTGAAAGCTACCCAAGTGGCCAGAGCAGCAAGCCAGAGGGACAAGGTTGGGAGATTGGCTCAGCAGGCCACACATGGTCTGAGGTCTTCAGAGGGCCTTGGCCTTCATCTAGGATCCATGGGGAGCCTGCCTTCAAGGGCAAGTGGTGGGGGCCAATTTTCAACTTTCACAGATGACTCCAGCTGCAGGTGCAAATGGATAGTGGGGCGAGAGTGGAGGCCAAGAGGTGAGGGAGCCAGAGCAGGGTCCCGGGGACAGAAAGTGGTGGCAGAGACACTGTGTCTACATACCTTCCATACCAGTGCCTCAGACAACACACAAAGACATCGATTTATTGCAAACTGAGCAATTTAAGTCACTCTACTGACTGCTTTTCTACATGACAACTAACTTGGGCTTAACTGCCCAGGATTTTCTTTTCCTGTTGAGAAGATAATTTTGTGCCTTTCTTTCCTTTTTTGTTTTTAACATGAATGTGACTGGGTGTGTGATTTCATGGAGCAAAATAAAAATGCTTGAGGAACATACATGCAACAGAAATGTCTTGAGACATAAAACGTTTTTCTGATCGTTTGGGTATTAGTTATGCCTTCCCGGTCCCACCCCCAATATTCAGGACAGTCACAGTAGTGACATACAAAGAGGTACATGGTGATAAGAAAGCCAGGCCCAGGGCTTGCTAGGACCCCAGGTGGGCAGGACTGTGGGGCAGTATGTAGCTGTGAGGTAGGCGGTCTCAGCCTTGCCATGCCACCAGAGGGATGGAGTGAAGGCTGCTGTGGGGTGTGGGGGTGGGGTGGGGAATAAGGCAGAAATAGGATCTGCCGTGAGCATCAGCATGCCACCCAACCCCCACGGTGCGGAGACAAAGGGCCTTTGGGGAGGAAGGTCCTGGCCCATTTCCTCTGGGGGAGCCTCTGGGTGTTCCTGGCCTCCCAGCCTTACCCCTTCTTCCCCAGCCCCTGCGTGCGCGGGCCGAGGGCTTCTCCCCTTCCGTAGCTCAGACCTAGAACAGTCACTGCCCTAGAGCGCAGATCCCGCACTGTCTGCGCTGGGCACCGCGAGGTGCAGAGAGCTAACCCTGTTACCTCCACTCGGACCGCCCACCGCACAAGAGAGTGCACAAAAACCTCCCCTTCATCCCTGCCCGTGAAGTCCACATCTGTGGGGCAGAGACCGACGACGCAGCCTCTCTGGGCCTTGGCCACTTACCGTTGGGGGCCCGGAGTGTCGCAGGGCGCGGCCGTGCAGGGTCTGGCGCCGCATCCGAGCCCGCGCCGCGCGCTCAGCACCACGGTCAGCTCCCAGCGCCGCGCGGCGGGGCCGTGTGCGGGGAGGCCGGGATCCCGCGCCCACCTGCCTCGGCTCTAGCGCCTAGGCGGCCGCGCAGGGGGCGGACAGGCGAGGGTTAAGCCGCCTGTGGGCGACGGGAGGGCGGGGCCGGGACGGGAGCCAGGCGGACGCAGCCGCTCCTGAGCCATGGTGGACGAGGTGACGCGTGCCGCGCGGGCAAGGGGCTGCAAGGCAAAGACAGCCGCCTCCGTGCGCCGCCGCCTCCGTGCGCCGCCGCCTGGACCTTGCTGAGTCTCGCTTTGTTTGTGTTTCTCCTCCGTCCCTGTTTCTGCGTGTTTCGGTCTGCCCACAGGGCTGTGGTTTTGCACCCTTCAGACTCAGTCGTCTCCCCTAGCTCCCATCCGCACTGCGTCCCCGCTGCGGCCCCAATTCCTTAGAGCTTGGAGCGCACAGGTGTGGGCGCCCCTGCCCTGCGGACCCCAACCGTTTCGGAAGGGCTAGATCACACCGATCCTTGTCACGAGTCCTACAGAGGATTCGGAAGCAGACTTGGGAAGGTGCCGGCCAGTCTGGGGATGCACGGCAGGGTCTTCCAGAACCTTCTATACCTGCATTTGTTGGACCCCATTGCATCGTTAATGGGAGCGAAAGAGGCACTTACCCTGCTGGCGCTTACTGTGTGGGGTCTGCTTGTGCTGTGCCCTGCTGCAGAGAAGCCGTGGGACCCCCTTTCCAAGGAGCTGAGGAGGAAGGGTCTGCACGCTGGATCCAGTTCCCAGGACTGGGGGAGCAGTAGGGATAAAATATGGACTAAGTAACTCCAGGACGGCTCAGGCAGCAGTGCAGGGAGCGCGGGGGCGAGCCTGGAGCTGGGCAGGGCTGGGGCTGATCCCGACTGGGCCTCGCGCAGGGAGCACCGCAGGGCGGGATGAGGCTGAGAGGAGGGCAGAACTGGTCTGGATGATGAAGGCCACGCCTTTCCTTGAGCTCACGGGGTTCTCCTCCAGTCACCACGTCCAAAAAGCCCCAGACACAACGGTGTCCCCCTTGGTGTGGACTGGTTTGGTTTGTCGTAACCCCTGAGCCTTCCCTATAATCAGTCACCTTGAGATTGCCTCTCTCTGGAGTCAAGAGGTGACTCCACCGCGAGATCCTTTAGCAAAGGTGACCTGCCACCCTAGGACGAACCACCTTCTTCCATTTCTTGCAGTCCACCCTTCTTTCTACCTAGTGATTAGCTCAGCGTGACCCCAGATACCCTCCCCCCGCATTGTTGGTTCCGTCCTGACCTTTTCTGGCTGACTTGGCCATCAGGGCTCCCTGCATAGAGTTCCCCTCTGAGGGAGAAAAGAGGCAGGTCTATGCCTCCTTGTGACACACCCCTCACCAGAGATAGGTCTGCCACAGAATCCACAGCACTCCTCTTGTTTAATTAATAAACATTAGCCTTCCTTAATATGATTGCCTTTCTTTTTGCCTTTCTTTTTATATTTCTTATAAAATAATATAATTGTGAGAATAACCATGGGGTCAACTTCTTCCAATGAGTGATAATTGCTCTATTTTTATGCTGAATCGGTCACCCTTTGGCCAATGAGAGCCATTCTAAGTCATCTACTTTGTCATTTCAGAGAGTTTAGGAACATCCTTACTTTCGGGTAACAAGAAAATATATATGTAAAATTTCTTCTTTCCTCATGACCTGGGATTATGTCTTCTCCCAGGACCCCTGGAAAACTCTTTCATACCAGGATTGTCCAGTTCTGATATTACTAAATGATTTTTAAAAATATTTTTCTAGGCCAGGCCGCGGTGGCTCACACCTGTAATCCTAGCACTCTGGGAGGCCGAGGTGGATGGATTGCTCAAGGTTAGGAGTTTGAAACCAGCTTGAGCAAGAGCAAGACCCTGTCTCTACTATAAATAGAAAGAAATTAATTGGCCAACTAATATATACAGAAAAAAGTAGCCAGGCATGGCGGCGCATGCCTGTAGTCCCAGCTACTCGGGAGGCTGAGGCTGAGGCAGGAGGTTTGCTTGAGCCCAGGAGTTTGAGGTTGCTGTGAGCTAGGCTGATGCCACAGCACTCACTCTAGCCTGGGCAACAAAGCGAGACTCTGTCTCAAAAAATATATTTTTTTTCCAATTAAACTGCTATTTTTATAATATGTGGACTTAGATTTCTCATCTGTATTTTTGATTTGTGGCTGTAACCCTCTTTCTCCTGGGCACTAGCTTCCTGGGCACTTGACTGTCCCCTGGGAGACTTTCTGGCCACCCTTCGCTTTCTCCATAGATCCACAGACCTGACTGTGAGCACGAGGAGCTGGCTGTGCCCACGCTGTCAGGTCAGCCAGTCCTGCAGGTGCAGGTCCAGGTTTGTAGCCTGAGAACTAAGTTCCCTGTGGGGCCTCACATCTGAGTGGACTTGGGGGTGAAGGAGCAGGACCTCATACCTCCGAGGAATGCTGGCAGCATTGGAGAAGAGCAGGCCTCCAGGGCCACGATTTGGAGTGGGTGGCTCCAGGGCCGGCGAGGGAGAGGCATTCCTGCTCAGGCCAGGCCTCTGCAGGGAGATATTTTCCCCAATCACAAACTAAGATTGGGGGTACTATCAGATGAAGTGACCTATGGTATGAGTGGTTTCTTCTTCTTTTAAAATTATCAATATTTTTAAACTCTTTTTCCTTTCATATTTTTTTAAACAATGAATAGTTTGTTTCTTTTTCTTTTTTATTGTGGTCAAATATATATAATATAAATGTTATGTCTTTATCAGTTTTTAAGAATACAACTCAGTGGTACTGAGTATGTTCACATTGTTGTGTGCCTTCACCTCAATCTATTTCCAAAACATTTTCATGGCCCCAAACAAACTCTATACCCATTAAGCTATAACTCTTCATTCTCCTCCCCCGCTTGCTGCTGGTAACCACTATTCTTCTTTCTTTCTCTGTGAGTTTATCTACTCTAGGTACCTCATGTAAGAAGAATCATACAGCATTTGTCCTTTTGTGACTTATTTCACTTAGTGTAATGTTTTCAAGGTACATTCACATTGTCCAGCACTTGTCAGAATGTCCTTCCTCTTTAAGACTAAATAACATGAATACTCCATTGTATATAGAGACCATATTTTGTTTATCCATTTGTCTGTAGATACACATTTTGTGTTGTTTCCACCTTTTAGCTATTGTGAATAATGCTATTATAAACAGTGATGTACAAATATCTGTTCCAAGTTCCTGCTTTCAGTTCTTTGGAGTATAAAACTGGAAATGCAGTTGCTGGGTCATATGGTGATTTTATGTTTTATTATTTGAGGAACCACGGTACTGTTTTCCACTATGCTGGTACAAGTTTACATTCCCACCAGCAATGTACAAGGGTTCCATTTTTTTCACATCCTTATCAACACTTTTTATTTTCTGTTTTTTTTTTTTTTGCATTTTTACAAACTTGTATTATTATTTCCTCAGGATACATTTATAGACTATATGGAAAAGAATGAATAGGGTCTGTTTTATTGTTGTTTTGTTTTGTTTTTTTAAACGATAGCCATTCTAATGGGTGTGAAATATTATATCATTGTGGTTTGGATTTGCATTTTCCTAATGATTGTGATTTTGAGCATCTATTCATGTACTTACTGGCCATTTGTGTATCTTCTTTAGAGAAATTCAAGCCATTTGTCCATTTTTAATCAGATTGTTCATGTATTCTGGATATTATTCCCTTATCAGATATATGATTGGCAAATATTTTCTCCCATTCTCTAGGTTGCCTTTTCATTGTCTTGATAATGTCGTTTGACGTGCAAAAGTTTTTAGTTTTGATGAAGTCCTAGTTGTCTATCTTTTGTACTGTTACCTGAGTTTTTTGTACTGTTACCTGAGTTTTTAGTGTCATATCAAAGAAATCCTTGCAAAATCCAATACTGTGAAGATTTCCCCTTATATTTTCTAATAAAGGTTTTATAGTTTTAGCTCTTACTTGTACATCTTTGATCGATTTTGAGTTAATTTTTGTATATGGTGTGAGAGTCCAGTTTCATTCTTTTGCATGTGGACATTCAGTTTCTCCAGTACAATTTGTTGAAAAAACTGTCCCTTCCCCATTGAATGATCTGGGCACTCTTGTGCCATCATTTGACCATAGATGTGAGGGTTTATTTCTGGACTCTGTCTTCATCTATATGTCTGTCTTTATGCTAGTATCACATTGTTTTGATTACTGTAGCTTTGTCCCAGTCTACTTTTGTAAGCATATAAATCTTCTTATTTTAAAATTTTATGTCAAGGCTCCCTGGCTCAGCTCTAATTCTTGTTTTTATCACTGTTAACAAACATGCCCTTAAACACTGGGAAATATATATTGAAATATGGCTTCTTTGCCACTATCTCATTTAAGCTATAAAAGGGCCTGGGTAGCAAAATGGTAGGGTCTAAAACTGATTTGGACCTGTGGATTACCTACTGCAATAAGGGGGAGTTTCTTCTGATGGGGACCTTGGACGGTGAGCACAGGACCCCAACCCCACCTCACACTTCGCATCCTCATGCACAAAACTGTTTTCTTTTTCTTTTTCTTTCTTTTTTTTTTTTTGTTTTTGAGACAGAGTCTTGCTTTGTTGCCCAGGCTAGAGTGAGTGCCGTGGTATCAGCCTAGCTCACAGCAACCTCAAACTCCTGGCTCAAGCAATCCTACTGCTTCAGCCTCCCGAGTAGCTGGGACTATAGGCATGCGCCACCATGCCCGCCTAATTTTTTGTATATATATTAGTTGGCCAATTAATTTCTTTCTATTTATAGTAGAGACAGGGTCTCGCTCTTGCTCAGGCTGGTTTCGGACTTCTGACCTCGAGCAATCCACCCGCCTCGGCCTGGCAGAGTGCTAGGATTACAGGCGTAAGCCACTGCTCCCGGGGCCACAAAACTGTTTTCTGATCACCAGGAGAACTCACACAACCTCTTGCCATTCCTTCCTCCTTCTATTAAAGCATTTGGCTCTGTTGGTCCCATTTTTTCAGGATTTTATTATCTTCTTCATAGCGGTATTTCTGCCATGGCATCCATCCATCCACCCATCCATCCATCCAACCACCCATCCATCCACTCATTCAGCAAATGTTTATTTGGTGACTACTACATCCCAGGCACTGTTCTTGACCTTGAAAATAAACCAGATAAAAACTCTGCCTTCGAGGAGCTTTTATTTTGATTGGGGGAAATAGGCAATAAGTAAAATAAATATTCAGTAAGTTGGTTGGTTAGTTATGAAGAAAAATAAAATGGTCATCCCAGGGATGCAGGGATGGTTCAACATACGTAAATCTATAAATGCAATTCGCCACATAAACAGAAGCAAAAACAAACACCACATGATTCTTTCAATAGATGCAGAAAAAGCTTTTGACAAAATTCAACACCCTTTCATGATACGAAGGCATAGAAGGGACATACCTAAAAATGATACAAGCCATATATGACAGACCCATAGCCAACATCATACTGAATGGGGAAAAATTGAAATCATTCCCAATTAGAACTGGAACCAGACAAGGCTGCCCACTATCTCCACTTCTGTTCAACATAGTGCTGGAAGTCTTGGCTACAGCAATCAGACAGGAAAATGGAATCAAAGGTATCCAAATAGGGGCAGAAGAGATCAAACTTTCACTGTTTGCTGATGATATGATATTGTATCTAGAAAACCCCAAAGATTCAACCAAGAAACTCCTGGAACTGATCAATGAATTTAGTAAAGTCTCAGGATACAAAATCAATACACAGAAATCAGAGGCATTCATATATGCCAACAACAATCTAATTGAGAACCAAATCAAAGACTCAATTCCCTTCACAATAGCAACAAAGAAATTAAAGTACCTAGGAATATACTTAACCAAGGACGTAAAAGACCTCTACAGGGAGAACTATAAAACACTGAGGAAGGAAATAGCAGAGGATGTAAACGGATGGAAATCCATACCATGCTCGTGGATCGGTAGACTCAGTATCATTAAAATGTCTATACTACCCAAACTGATCTACAGATTCAATGCAATACCTATTAAAATCCCATCAGCATTCTTCGCAGATATAGAAAAAATAATTTTACGCTTCGTATGGAACCAAAGAAGACCCCAAATATCAAAAGCAATTCTAGGCAACAAAAACAAAATGGGAGGCATAAATATGCCAGATATCAAACTATACTACAAAGCTGTAGTAATTAAATCAATATCGTATTGGCACAAAAATAGGAATATTGACCAGTGGAACAGATGTGAGAATCCTGATATAAAACCATCCTCATATAGCCATCTAATCTTTGACAAAGCAGACAAAAATATACGCTGGGGAAAAGAATCCCTTTTCAATAAATGGTGCTGGGAAAACTGGATAGCCACCTGTAGAAGGCTAAAACAGGACCCACACCTTTCACCTCTCACAAAAATCAACTCACGCTGGATAACAGACTTAAACCTAAGGTATGAAACTATTAGAACTCTAGAGGAAAATGTTGGAAACACTCTCCTAGACATCGGCCTGGGCAAAGAGTTTATGAAGAAGTCCCCAAAGGCAATCACAGCAGCAACAAAAATAAATAAATGGGACATGATGAAACTACAAAGCTTCTGCAGAGCCAAAGAAATAGTCATGAAAGTAAACAGACAACCTACACAATGGGAGAAAAATTTTGCATCCTATGCATCCGATAAGGGACTGATAACTAGAATATACTTAGAACTCATGAAAATCAGGAAGAAAAAATCAAATAACCCCATTAAAAAGTGGGCAAAGGACTTGAACAGAAACTTTTCTAAAGAAGACAGAAGAATGGCCAACAAACATATGAAAAAATGCTCAACATCTCTAATCATCAGGGAAATGCAAATCAAAACCACAATGAGATATCACTTAACCCCAGTGAGAATGGCCTTTATCAAAAAATCTCCAAACAATAAATGCTGGCTGGTTGCAGAGAGAGAGGAACACTCCTACACTGCTGGTGGGACTGCAAACTAGTTCAACCTCTGTGGAAAGCAATATGGAGATATCTTAAAGCGATACAAGTGATTCTACCATTTGATCCAGCAATCCCATTGCTGGGCATCTCCCCAAAAGATCCAATGACACTCTACAAAAAAGACACCTGCACTTGAATGTTTATAGCAGCACAATTCATAATTGCAAGGCTGTGGAAACAGTCCAAGTGTCCATCAATCCAAGAATGGATTAATAAAATGTGGTATATGTATACCATGGAGTACTATTCAGCTCTAAGAAACAATGGTGACATAGCACATCTTATATTTTCCTGGTTAGAGCTGGAACCTATACTATTAAGTGAAGTTTCCCAAGAATGGAAAAACAAGCACCACATATACTCACCAGCAAATTGGTATTAACTGAACAGCACCAAAGTGGTCACATAGGTACTACAGTAATAGGGTATTGGGCAGGTGGGAGGGGGGAGGGGGGCGGGTATATACATACATAATGAGTGAGATGTGCACCATCTGGGGGATGGTCATGATGGAGACTCAGACTTGTGGGGGGAGGGGGGAAATGGGCATTTATTGAAACCTTAAAATCTGTACCTCCTTAATATGCCGAAATAAAAAAAAAAAGAAGAAAAAGAAAATGGGCTAAGGAGCTAGGAATCCATCAGATGTACAGCAAAACCCAGGGTGTATATAATGGCATTGCTTATAATGTGCTCTAAAATAGAATATATCTTTCTGGTCCCCAAACTGGTAATGGTTAAATAAATTTTGGTGCATTCATATAGTGGAGAATTATGCAGCCATTGAAAATATGGTTGGATACCATACTTTTTAACTTGGGAAATGAAATGATATTCATAAAATGTTTCTAAATGAAAAGCAGTCTAGGAAAAGTACATACAAATCTGGTTTTAATTCTGTAAAATAAATATATTCAGTAAAATGACTTGATGAATGCATATGAAAATATTAAAATGATTGTATTTGGGTGGTGAAATTATGAGAGGCTTTGTGAGTTTTTTGGTACGTTTGTATAAATCAACATGACTGACATAAAACCTGCACACACACGTTTGTATACACACACACACATAAATACACACACATGCACACAGTCATGAGTTGAATAATAACATTTCTGTCAACAACAGACCACATGCATGACAGTGGTCCCAGCAGATGAGAATGCAGACGACAAATTGCTGTCACCTGGTGAGGTGGCGTCTACTCTCCTCTCCTTCCTGAAAAGGCAAATGTGTGTTTGCATGCGATGACTTCTTTCCTGGCCTTTCCTGATGTTGTCCACGTTATTTTTACCTATGCTTTTAATTACAGCTTAATTTTACCCCCACACATATTGCTGTAATCATTGTCATCTGTCTATGCTGTGGGTCTGGTGACCTTGCTCTCCTCCGTCTGCCACGGTGCTGTGTGCGTTGCGGACGCTTAGTGAACACTGGCTCACACGTGAGGGACACGCCCCTGTGAGGACCGCAGTGTGTCCATGCACATACCTCACTGCAGTGGACCCCACCACAGCCCTCTGCGAAGAGTGGCAGACACCTCCCCAGATACCCTACCCCTGCCGGCTGAGTGGAACCCTGATGTCCTTGGTGATGCTCTCACCTGTGCGACTGTTTTCCTCAGAAGTCTCTGGTGGGGGTCCTCTTCCTGGGGTCTCTGTGCAGGCAGTAGGTCAGACCCACTTGGCTACGGCACCTGTGGGGCCAGTGTCACGGACAGGCCATGAGTCTGAGGAGTGGAGTGGACGGAGGGTTTCCTTATGAAGAAAGGCCCTCGGAGAGGTGAAGGGTGCACAACACCACTATTGAGACCTTGTCCTGCCTGGTTCCCCAGAAGGAGCCCTGAGGAGGTGCTGATCCTGTGTCTGGCTGTGACAGCAGGAAGCTCTGGCGGTGGGGGCAGTGGGTAGGGTGTGCCACCAGTCGTTTCCTTCTGTAGGGTGCTAGCTGTCAGTCTCACTCAGTACTCTGTGAGACAGTCTAGAACATTTCTCAGAGCTACCCCCGCCTGGGGAAAGGAGGCTGGGTGGTCTCTTTAGCCCTGCCGTGGGCTGAAGGCTGCTTCTACAGCTGTGGGTGGCAGTCGCTCTGGGCTCACCCTAGGAATGAACTGGGGAGTCTTCGATGCCCAGAAAAAGCCTCAGCAGACATATCTAACAAACCCAGGAAGTGACCGTCTGGTCACCCAATTTCTGGACCTCCCGCACCTGCCACCAGCCATTTGCTGGCCCTTCGTAAGAGCTCAGTCTCTTCTCTCTGCTGCTTTTACTGGCCCTGTTAATGTGCCTATCTGCAGATTTCTTTTTATCCCTTTTTAGACTCAGTTGCTTCCTTGAAGGTGGCTTGCCACTCTCAGATAATTGTGGAATGTTCTCAGGCTTTCTCCCTTCAAATGCTGCCCCTTCCTCATTTTCTCTAATGCTCCCTTCTGGATCTATTTACCTCAGAGCTTCTCTGCCATGGCTCTCTGTCCCTCTTTAATATATTTTTAAATCTTTTTGGGTTGCACTATATATAATTTTTTAGATTCATCTTTCATTCCTCTAATTATTTTCTGTGGTATCTTTTCTGATGTTTATTGAGTTTTTAACTTCAATCACTATATAATTCAGTTCTATGTGCGCTGGTGGTGCAGCGAGCATAGCTGCCTCCCAGTCACTATATAATTCAGTTCTATGTGCGCTGGTGGTACAGCGAGCATAGCTGCCTTCCAATCACTACATAATTCAATTTTAGAAGTTTTGTTTGCCTGTCTGTTTCTCCTTCAAATCTGCATGGTAATTTTTATAGTGTCTTGCTAATTGTTCATATTGCTGAGATGTTTACATTTCTTCAAACCTTTTGAACTTATTTTATATTCTGTGTCTGATCTGAAGTCTTGGTCTGACTCTGCTGTCTGCTCTTTCTCCTGGCTCTTCATCAGATTATAATATTTCACTGTGAATTCTGAGATGTTTTTTCACACTAAATTGACCAATTTCCTTGAAATTTATGTACAGAAATTTCCTGAAGCTTTAGTTGAAAATAACTTCCTTCAGAAAGTATTTGAATTTGTTTCTTCTATTTTTCAGGGGCTCTACCAATCTCAGATTATTTTTATTTATTTAAAATGTATTACAGTTTTATAATTGAAGTTTTTTTCTAATTGGGGCCTGCAAATTCACATAATGAATGACTTCTGATCATAAATTATCTGGTGAAGTTTTTCCCCTGCACTCACTGCCAAGTCCAAGACAGGAGAGTTTCTCTGCTGACTCCTTCAATTCAGAGGGTTTAAGTCTCCTTCCAGCCCTAGGTCCTGCTAAGGTTGAAATGTTTGTGTCTCCTCCCAAATTCCTGCTGAAACTCAATCTCCAGTCCCACAGTATGGAGAGTGGGACCCTTGGGGGTAATGAGGTTTCAAGGACCTTCCTTTGTGAATGGGACTAAAGCTTTAATAAAAAAGGCTTCACACATCATCACCCCTTTTGTCTTTCCATCTCTTCTTCCTTGTGTAGACACAGCACTTGTCCCCTCCAGAGGATGCAGTGACAAGGGGCCAGCTTGGACACAGAGACGGGGCCCCTCACCAGACACAGGACCTGTTGGCGCCCTAATTGTGGCCTTCCCAGCCTCCAAAACTGTGAGAGAGAGATTTCTGTTCTCACTGGTTCCCCGTCTCAGGTATTTTGCCACAGCAGCAGGATGTGCCAATGTTCCCTCCCAGACTCCTCACCTGGAGGGCCTGGGCTCTGTCCTTTCTCTCCAGTGTCCCTCACACTGGGTGATCTTCAGGTTTTACACATTGCCTTAGGGCAAAAACTGGTACCTGCTGACTTCCCAGGAATCCATCTTTCTCTTCAGTTTTGGTCTTACTCATAAGTGATCAATGACTCATTTAAATGTTTTGTAATATTGGACCTTGCTATTTAAATTGTTTTCAGAGGGAGGGTGGCTTATGTCACCATCTCTCAGAGTGAATGCACACTCTCTCTTCTTAAAACCGCCCTCCATGCCCACAGCCAGCTCTCCAGAGAGAGCTGCCTGTGCGCCCAGTAGGGTGCTGGTGTGTGCGCGCACGACTCCTTCTGTTGTGTGTCCTCAGGCCTTCACTCAGCAGCATCACTTGAGAACTTCACAACTTCAGTTGGCCCAGCTGAGCTGCAATCCAGGGAGCCTTCTGGCTCAGCAGCTCTTTAAGCTTAAAGAGGGCAGAGCCCCTGAGCCCCTGAGCTGCCAGCTGGAAAACAGCAACAACAGGGAGAACTCCAGTCTTTTCAATAGGTGTGTAGAGACATCGTTTTCACATCGCTAGGGAAATGTAAATTAGAAACATGTGAGGTAAATACCTCTATAGTCTATTAATAGATGCCCCTACATACCTATTAGAAAGACTGAGGCTTCTTGTTGTTGTTTTGGGTTTTGGCCGGCTGCTCAAGGATTCCTTCTTTGTCTTTGAAATACAATAACCACCCATCCTCAATTTCCATAATTTTCTCTTTATTTCTTTTAAAACCTTTGTTTATATCCACATCTTTTTTTTTTTTTTTTTTTTTGGTGTTTGTTCTGAGATGGGGTCTCACTACAATTGCCCAGGCTGGCCTCGAACTCCTGGGCTCAAGCAACCCTCCCACCTCGGCTGCCCGAGGAGGCGGCATTATAGGCGTGTGTCAGCATGCCCAGCATTTCCACTTCCTGCTCATGTTTCTTTCAATGTTCTTCTCCAGTGGTGTGTGGAGTCGTTTTGGAGCCTGAGGTAAAAGGAAAAAATCAGTAATACTGATCTTATCCTCATTTAAAATTTTGATATTTTGTTCTTTTTTTTTCATTTTCTTTTTCTTTTTTTTTTTTCACAGTGGTGTCACCATAGTTTACTGCAGCCGCCAACTCCTGGGCTCAAGTGATCCTCCTGCCTCAGCCTCCCGAGTAGCTGGGACTGTAGGCATATGCCACCATGCCTGACTAATTTTTCTATTTTTAGTAGAGGCTAATTTTTTTTCTAGTTTTAATAGAGACAGGCTCTTGCTCTTGCTCAGGCTGGTTGATATTTTGTTAATCATGGACTTTTGCATTAATTTTGATTTTAAAGAATATTTCATTAAAATATGATCTGTCTGGATGCCTGGGTGTTCTCGTGCCCTGCAGTTTCCTCCTGCCTTGCCTGTCTCATTCCCCATCCCCTTCCTTCCTTATCAGGAATGGCAGAGTATATCTGTGCAGCCTCCTATTTAATTTTTTTATGATTATTTAAATCTTCTATTTTTTTAAATCTCTGCCAGTTTCATACTCCTTCTTTTGTTATTTCACCATAATTTCCATGAGCTCATTTTTTTTGTTTTTGCTATTGTTTCACAGAGATTATTGCTTCACTTAACACTTTTTGGTTGTTTTTGTTTTTGCTTGTTTTAAGTTGACATTGAAATGTTTGACCACAATTTGCCTCTGATCCAGGGCCGTATTTTTCTGATACAAGATCTCATCTGCTTCTTATTTCTCCTCCTCTTCTTCTTTTGTTTTTTCACGAGGCTGCGGCTGGCCTATAGACTGCACTTGTGCAGGGAGGACTTGGAGAATAGTGCAAGAGACAAACCAGACCCACTGCTCCCCTTTCCTTCCTTCACCCTTACCTTCCCAGCCCGGGCCTTACAGGCTCAGCTTCCTGGGCACTTGGGGCTCAGATGCCTGTTTTACACACCTTCCTGCCTGTGCATGGTCAATATTCCTTTAGACCTGTCTTGTAGCTTGCCCAAATTTTCTCGAACAATGTGGATGGCTTATAGAGAAATTGATCAGGACTTCCCTGGAGGATGTGCAGAAAGGGCCCAAAGGTCCACGATTGTAGGTTGTGCTCTCAGACCACGGTGTCCTTTGGAGAGTTAGAAGGGACAATTGTGAGATCATCTAGTCCAGCAACTACCCCCTGACCTAAGGGAGACCGGATTCCCCTCAAGGAAATACACCTGGGCTACAAACTCACCTTTGAATTCATTGCTTTGAACCTGAAATTGGAATGGTATAGAGTTTGGGTTAATTTCCAGGTGATTTGTAACTTATTTATGTTTGGCAGAACATCTTAAAAATAACATTTTATTTATAATTTACATACACATAAATGCATACATTTATTGTGTACAACATGTCATTCTGGAATATGTATATACATCATGGAATGGCTAAATTGAGGTAATTAGCTTAAGCGCTGCTTTGCATACTTACCATTTTTCTGTTCATGTCTGTCCTCTTCTTCCCCCACCCCCTTTAGCAGTAACTTCTTCCCAGGACTCCTTTGCTGGCTTCCTCCTGACTCAGCTCTCCCCGCCGCAGCTGCTGGCAGAGGCGCTGTGGAGAGAGGCCCTGGGCTGTCCTCCAGGCTTGTGGGGTGGGGGTGGGGTCTCCAGCGACTTGTGAGCCTTCACTTCCTTCAGCCTTTTTGTTCCCTCTGGGCTTCAGACCTCCACTCAAAGGCAGCTCTGTCCTCCCCCACCACAACCCACAGTCTTTTCCTGACAAACGTGGCTTCTCTGCCGACTTCAGCATAGGCCATCACTGTCTCCCCACCCACACAGAACCCAGGAAGCCTTGCCACCATCCGGAGCTCTGGGTTTCTGTTGGCACTGACTGGCCTCATCAGTTTTGCCATTCAAGGTGTGCCTTCATGCTAGAAAAATGTGTCCTGCTGGCTGTCTCCAAGCCCAAAACTTCAGGGCTCATCCTCCAAGTCCCCCCATCTCCAGGTCAGTGTGCCCACCTGGTGGGCCTCCTTTTTGTTTTGTGGTGTGGAATTTTAGGTGTCTCTTCAATTTATCTAAGGTAGCAGCTTTGTCTCTGTACCTCTTTTACCTGGTTACTTGTGGGTGCTTTCTTAGAGAAGTTGGAAACATCCTGGCATTTTAAAATTAGAGGTTTTACAAAGGCTTTTGAACACGAGATACTGCTGAGAACGGTGTACTGCTGGGTAGGCCTTTCTGCCTTAGGTTGGAAGGAGAAATCAGGGAGAAGGGATTATAGTTGCTTCTGTTGTTTCATGTGTGGGACAGGAGAAACAATAGCATCTCATGTACAGGGTCATTGAGAGAACTAGATGAGGTGCATGTGTATAGAATCTGACATGTAGTAAGTGCTCAGTCATTGTCACCTGGTGTTATAGTTAATTGCTTTCACAACGACCTGGTGAGGTCCATGATCTAGCATCATCATATTCATTTGAGAGATACAGAAACTGAGTCCCAGAGTTGAATGACTTACCCAAAGTAACACAACTTGTTCTTAGCAGAGCAGAAGCCAGAACCCAAATCTTCTACCACTGCACCCCAAACTTACGTATTTCCACTGTACCACTCCCTAAGCAGTGAGCAGGCTATTCATGAGGATATGCAGACAGCCTTGGTTGTGCCTCCAGAACTCAGATTCTGGCCACTTAGGCCTGGGCCATTGGTCAGATTTGTAACTATATTTGCAGATGTTTTTAATAGAGCCAGACTGAGCTGCCCACCCTGGTGAGAATTGACCCGCCTGGCATTAGTTCATAAGGAAGGAGAGTCAGTGAGTGCAGACTCTAGGTAAATCCATCCCTTCCCCAGTCAAGACACCTCTAGATGCCTTTGGGTATGAGGAATGAGGTCTATTTTTATCACTTTTATTCTGTTAAATCAATACTGCATTCACATTATGATGATGTCATTATTATCCACTGATGAGCTCAACAGTGTACAATGATCATGTTTCGTTCCTTGTACAACTTTTCATTTTTCCTGGAATTAATCATTCCTTTTTAGTTTGTTTAATTTTCTATGTATCTGTCACTACTCAAACTCTTCAAGGAATATGTAAATAAACTCTCCATATATTTTCCATGTGGTCAGATGCATTGTTAATCTGTCAATTTCTGTCCTTTTTTCTTTTCGGATCTTTTCCTCCAACTCCCTCCTCTCATGCTCATGTGGCCTGGCTTGTCCTTGGGCCAGCTGGGTAGCCCGAGGCCTGGGGTTTCTCCTCATCATCTGGGGAATTCTCTTGGCTTTTCTCTTGTATTGGGTCATTTTCCTCTTTCTTGATAAATTCACTCTATTCTATCAGCTTCCTTAGGTAAATTTCTGGAGCCCTTCAATGTCTAGGATAATTCTGTCCTACTCTTGGGGTTGACTGACAGTGTGACTGAGAATTCAATCCTAGGCTGGGAATAATGTCCTTCCACAGTGATGAAGACACTGTTCCTGTTTTTTCCATTTTCATAACCTTTGTCATGTCACTTATTGACTTTGTTTCTTTCTGGAAACTTTTAGCATTATTCCTGCTGTTCTGAAATTTGCTAATAACTGTGGGGTTTGTTTTCATTTAATTTACTGAACATTCAGTGGGTTCTTTAAATCTGGATACTAAAATTTGGAAAATTTTATTGCTTTTAATAATAGTTCCTTTCCTCCTCTCTCCTTCTGGAACTTCTAGTATTTATAAGTTGGACTTTCTGAATTGATCCCTTAATTTTATTATTTTCTCTACTCCTTGATAAATTTTCTCAAATTTATCTTCCTATTCTATTTGAACTTTTAATATCTCTTGTCATAATTTTTCATTTCCAAGAGCTCCAAATAGATATTTGGAACGTTCATGGCACAACTGGTTTCTTTTCTTACAGCACCTCTTCCTCACGTCATGGGTTCTGTATCTTCAAATTTCCTTTTGCCCCAACATTATCTGTTTCCTTTCTGGGGTCCTATTTTCTCCAAAGTATTTCATTTGATCTCTGCATTTCACATTGAAGTCTCCACCCAAATATTTGGAGATTCTCAGGTTGTTGTTTTATTTAAGGGTGAGGCCTTGGACTCAGGGAGGGCCTGTGTATTAGGGGCTCTGGGCCTCTGGTGGCGCCCCCTGCAGGGGACCATGCAGCATGCCCTCCTCATCTGCACAGCAGTCTCTCCGGAGAACCTGGGGCTCCTGCCCTAAGGCTCATGGAGGCCTGGCGGGGCAGGCAGCAGCCTCAGGGGAAGCGGGTCTGCTGAGTCAGCCTTCTGCCACCAACACACTGTGATGTCTCCCTCTGTGTTGTCCTCGCTTCTGTTCTCTTTTTCCCTGTGGGTTCATCCCTTTTTTAAGTCCACTATTGCATTTTGTGGAGTATTTGAAGGGCAACGAGGTAAATGTGAGTGTTCAATCTGCTGTTTTTTTTTTTTTTTTTTTTTTTTTTTTTTGAGACAGAGTCTCACTTTGTTGTCCAGGCTAGAGTGAGTGCCGTGGCGTCAGCCTAGCTCACAGCAACCTCAAACTCCTGGGCTTGAGTGATCCTTCTGCCTCAGCCTCCCGAGTAGCTGGGACTACAGGCATGCGCCACCATGCCCGGCTAATTTTATATATATATATCAGTTGGCCAATTAATTTCTTTCTATTTATAGTAGAGACGGGGTCTTGCTCTTGCTCAGGCTGGTTTTGAACTC